AAAAAAAAAAAAGAAACTAGAAAAAAAAACTAGCCTAAATTGTTCAGATTTAGCAGTCGGTTATAACTAAACAATTCACTACATTAATCTGTTTAGTGGAAAAGATGATAATCTGCCTGTAGAACATATAACAAAAGTCGAAAAAAAAGGAAAAAAATTGAATTCAATCAACTTGATACCGTGATTATGTTTGCCTGGTATACAAAATTAGTTTATTATATTGAAAAAAAAAGCTTTTTTTTTTTTGATATTTAAAACTTTTTTGGTTGATGACCTTGTTGTTGTTGCTGCTGTTGTGGATTAGTTTCTAATCGACTGGCCTGATGTTGTTGTACTGCATTGGCGTTTGATTCTAATCTGTTGGACAACAATGTACTGTTAGCAATACTCTCAGCAATATCTAAAAGAAACAAAAAAAAAATGGCAAGTCAACGGTATTAATTCGTTACGACTGACTATTGGCCAAAAATAACATCGAAAGAAGTGAAAGTAAAATGAAAAACATCATATCTATTCGACAATTACTTATCCTCTTTTCATTCCTTCACAACTTTTTTAGTGCAAAAAAAATAAAAGTAAAATTTTTTCCTCTATATTTATTGACAATATAAATATAAATATTTGTCTATATTTATCAGTTTATTACTGGTCATAAAACAGGAAAGAAAGTATTTTTTTTTTTGCCAATTTTTAAGCTTAATAAATCCTTAGTAACATAATTTATAAATTAGCAGAAGAAAGGGCGCTTTTCTAAAACATCTTATCCATTTGCAAATATGGAAAAGAATAGAAAGCTGGATAAGTGTCGCCTCGCCTACTGAAGCTGTAAAGTTGTCCAGTGAAAGCATAGTAAGCAGTATTAATAGTGCAAAAAAAGGAAGCAAGAAAAACAGCAGTTACCTTGAACAACATTAGTGATATTCTCCAGAAGCTGAAATTATACAAAACTAAATTAATTCAATTTTTAAGTAATTTAAAAATTTTTTTCCCCTTTGAAAAGTTTATTTTAGAAAAAAAGCAGGCTATAAACAGTGTTGATACATCAAAAAAGTTCCAGTCACTTTGGAGTACAAATGCCTTCTTTCCTCTTATTTTGAAACCTTACTTGAGCGTCAGATGAAGCAAATAACAACAGCGGTAATATTAGGTATAGTGAATCCATGACAGCTGATGAAAGTCAACAGCAGATTCCTTCTGCAGCTCTGTAACCAATGATATAACGAATAATAAACTGTAACTGAGCTTATTGACTATTTAAACTTTGACTTATTTACCTTTAACAATTCATTAAAACTTCAATTCTCTTCAATTTCCACACTTTTCTTTTCATTGGTTGTTTAAGATATCCAAAGTTTTTTCACCTTCTTTCTCCCTCTCTCTTCTTTTGCTGTTGTAAACTTTATTTGTTTTAACCAGTAAATAATGTTTTTTTTTTCTTTTGTTGCAATAGTCATTTGGATAATTGATTATTAATCTGTTAAAAGAGCTTATAACCAACCAAATAAAACAAAGAACATAGACTTACCTTTCTTAATACACCAGCACATTCTGTTTTTTCATTTGCCCCAGCGCAAGAATGGTTCTGAAGGGGGAAAAAAGGTGAAGTCAAAATACAAAAAAAAATAAATAATTAAATAAAAAAATGAAAGGTGAGGACCAATGTTTACTGCAGCAAAGATTTTTTGGTGATTCACAGTAATTCTTGATACCACTAATGTGATTCAGATTTTTTTTTCGTTTCCGCCATCTGATCTGTTTGTTTTATTTGCACCAAAAGTATAATACCATTACACCCTGGCCGCACTTTGACAGAGCCGTTAAACTTAGACACATATTCTTCAATTTAATCGTCATCTTTTTTCACCGAGATCACATCAGCTTCAAGCGAAGTATTACGAATAAAATCAACGAATAGCATGTCTGAACGGGTACCGACCACCGTCTTTTCTCCCCTCTCTCCGTAGCGAAAATGTTCCATTGACTGGTTTGAAAATGTGCTAAGTTTTTTTTTTTTTTTTTTTCTTGCAGTCACCAATACCTCATCGATATTCAGTCTATTCAACCAATAGATAAAGTTCATAGGTGAAAGTGATTTTTCAGCAATGAAACCTGTGCAAAATGACGAGTTTCATCAACGAGAGATCCTTCAAGTATCGATGAGCGCACCATGCTGTTCAGTTTAGTTACAGTCAAACAGTTTTCAACTTTAAAGTTACAAGTAAAATTGCTGTTGAATAATTATCGATCACCTAATTGATGCAAAAAATAACATGTTGCTGTCTGTTGGATTCCTGAATAATGCAAAACAGATTTGACTCAAACCAGTATTTGATTTTGCGGTAGCCACTGAATTTAGCAGTATACTTTTATCGTTTTACAGTATATATTATTACCATTTAGGTGCTTATATCTGTTGATAGCAATATTTTTATCTTTTGTTTTCATTCCTCTAGTAAAAATCTTCAACAAATTTCTTCTTTCAGAATTTTTCACCTTCAAACAGCAGCCAAGTAGAATTTTTTTTGAAATAGGAAGACTGAAGCGAGGAGAGTGGGAAATGTCTGAGAAAAAAACACAACAATGTATCCAAAGATGGTTTTTTAGAAAGTCAAAAGAATGATTTAAATAGTCCAAATATTTGCTTCCAAAAGAAAAAGCAGACTGTGGATCGACAATAACTGTTCGATGTTTATGACAACAAAACAAAACACTCGTACAGTTTCTAAAATTATTTTGTTTTTTTTCTATTAAAGTTTAACTTCGTTCATTTCAGAAATTCAGGAGGAAATTCTTATTTTTGTGTTTGTACAAATACATCAGAGTTTTTGTACCAAATTTAAGAAAACTTTTAAAATAAAGGCTGTAAGGTAAAATTAATTGTACTGTCATTTTATTATAAAATATTACAGTGGTGCATTTATTTTGAAAAACTGTTAATTCTTAAATAATAGTGGTAAAAATAACTGTACTTCAATTGTTCCTTCCCCCTCCCCCCATTTCCTCGATTATTCAAACAATATTTAATCAACCCACTGAATATTCATTTATTACTTTAGAAACCTTCAATAATTTCAATAATCCAAAAAAAAGACCTAAATGAATGGATAAATAAATGAATAGCAGTAAAGTAGAGAAGGTGAAAATAAATTAAGTGATACAGTTAACTAAACAATCAACATGAACTTTTACAAGTACTAAATTATTTAACACTATAATAATCACCAAAAATGCTTTGTAATTAATAATAAAATTTTCACAAAAAAATAAATAAATTATTACCGTTTAGATAAGAAGATTCTGTTTAGAAAAAAAAACAATCATTAGCCTACTCAACAACTGTAAATTATTAACTGTTTACCACAACGGTTAATTAACGGAATAAAGCAGTCAAATTCCTTTAAATTTTACTGAAAAAAAAAAAGATCTGAAATTTTGTCTCTTTTGACCGGCGTATCCGTATCAAAAGAACTTTTTATCAATGTTTGTTAACGAGTCAAAAATTACTGCATATTTTGTTAACCGGTTTAAGCCGATTTTAATATAATC